ATGTTCTTGAAAATTCTTGAATACCCTGATCCAACCTATATTATAAATTTATAATAAATTTCAGACAGCCCCTGTAATTAATCCAAGGAAGCCTTAGAAATCTTTGAAAATCTCTATATATTTCGAAAATATTTCAAGTCCAGGTGCATTTCTAATAAATCCCAGAAACCCTTAGACATAGTTTAAAAATATTGGAATATCATAATTTTTTCTTCTTCGTCTTACATTAAGACAACTGTCATGTATCTTATTTATTCATAGCTCTTGGCAGTTCATCTTTAACTATCTTTAGTAGTCTTGCGGCTTTCATACGTGATCTCTCCATTCCCTACCTTTGCAGTGTTCTTTTGTGAGATGGACCTATCACAATATCCTGGATATCGCATACCATTTTGATCGTTACTTTTGTATGGTACCAGAAGGTATTAATAAACCGTTCTTTTGTGGTAGTATTTTCTGCTTTTGTCACTATGGCATGTGTCATAAGCGGGCCCTGTATTCTAGGGACCTATACTTGTCAAGATATTTAAAAATTATCATACAATGCCAACTTACAACGGAGTGGCTTCCTTGCTATTTTTTGAGGTATTATTTTTGTACAGAGATATTGTAGTAAGTACAGTCTCAATTCAAGCTCTTTCTTCTTTTATCAGTAAATCTGCTATCTTCCTAGTATTTGTCCTTTATTGTATTGCAACTTTTTTCCAGTCTCTCTAATCTCTGTCCAGTCTTCTTCTATCTTTCCAGTATCTGTTTTCTATTACCAGTCTTATCTCATTCTTTCTCTTTTATTGGTAGTCTCTTTTTCGTTTTTTAGTTTCTGGCCAGTCTCAACTCGACTCTCAATTTTTAAATTCAAATTTTTATGAACCATGTGAATTAAAAATCTATAAGATGAAGAAGGAGAGTCCTAATTGATTTCTGATGGCATAAAAGTTTCTGGAACTTTATATTTATAATAAGATGATTTACAGGTTTCAAATTAATTTTTGCAATGTCCAAAAATGATTTTTAATACAGAGTGACATATAAAGATTAATGTTTGTCATTTAATTTAACATAGATCTTACAGAGTTTGGTGGTCTCGTCTTTGCAACATTCTTTGCCACAATCCATCATGATAAAACGTCGTAAAATATTGTACAGCATCCTTTGAATACTATCTTCATTCGCTGACAACAGCACGTCATCGTCCGCATTGTAAACTATTTTCAGTTCTTCATTTACCAACTGATACTTTTCACGTCAATTATTATATCTTCTATGAGCAAGTTTGAAGAGTGCGGAACTTAGACTGTTTCCATGTCTTATGCAGGTTTGTGGGTACTCTGCGTCTCATTCCTTTCTCTGTTCTTATTCTTTTTCAGTTATTGGTGTTCAAATCCACTACTATACTTATCATATTGAGATACACTTTTCTTTTTTCCCAGAGTCTCACTACTTAGGGAAGCCTTACTTGATCCAATTCTTTGTGAGATCAACAAAATACTTGTGTATACTATTTTTGTTGTATTCCATGGCCTTGTCGGCAGTCTTATTATAAATATGGCGTTTGCATTATTTTAGCATGTCATTCAATATCTTATCAATCCCTGTAGATTTTCAATTTTCTATTTTGGTGATGCACTTTTCCTAAATTTCACATGGTCATTAACTGGCTTTTTCCTGTATTTTAGCATATTTCAAACTTTTATTTTTCCATAGCAGTCATCCATACAGTTTTCCATACTCCGTATCTTTTGTAGTTGTGTTTCAATTGCATTTATAATTTTATATTTCAATTTATGCCAAGTTGTATCTATATAGTCATAATTTTGAAACAAATTTGCATGTTTTTTTTCTATGCTTCTGTTTGGTTTAAGGTCTTTTTGGGTAAGTTCATGAGGTACATTGATCTTGTGCGTCATTTCTACCGGCTGTTTTTTAGATGTTACATTTTGGTTGTTATTTTTGCCATTACTAGGTAGTGGTTTAGTTGCAGTATTTGCTGATGTCAGCTCAATAACGTCTAGAATTCTATTTGGGTGTATTTTTTTGTTGAATCGGTCACCGATTTTTGTCCACTTGCATTTTCAAAGGTGAATTGTGTTGTGGTGTATTAAAGTGTGTTGGAGTGTTAAAATCTTCTATCATTAATATATTTTGTATTATTGATGTTGTTTTCAAATCTTTCATGTAGCATGATACCAACGCCAGAAGCTCATTCTTTCTCGTTCTTAGATGAAAGAGCGGAACCTAAAAATAGGATGCAAAACAGCAGCATCTACCAGCAAATGCGGCTATTTTTTTATGAAAGCTGTGTTGCCGCATTATACAGTAAAATAGATACAGCAAAAAGATGTTGAAAAATTAAGGAATGTAAAGTGATTCTGAGACTGATATTGTTAAAATCTCCGTTTTATAATTTTTTGTAAACGCCTAACTCCTCTTTATAAGAACAGAATTACTCTGAATACACTGGCTACTAACCCAGAGTGGCCTTCCTTGTTGTGGATTTAACCCATTTAGTCCCACTGGTGTGAATACGCACCAGCGTTTTTAAAATTATTTTACAGCCAGATTACTTCCCCAGATTACTGTTTGTACGATAACACTATAAGGTGGTTAGGCTATACATAACACAATATTTCATAATTCTTGCTACTTAAACCATATTTGCACCAATTCTTTTCTATTGAAAATTTTTGTTCAAAATATACAATAGAAATAGAACTATTTTTAGTGCATAAAATTCTTTATATTTTGACATTTGCAAGTTTTTAGTGCATATTTTCCTCATATATATCTTGTAACGTGAAATGAAAATATGAATTCTGAAAATACGTCTTGAAACATTAATGGTGCAAAAACACACCATTGCGATGTATAATGATATATAAGGATTACATCATCTTTCGTATTATCAGAATCGAGTTTAGATGCATTTATTCGGTGAATTCCCTAGAAATAGTCGTTTATGGGCATAGTGTGTCAATATAGGTGTAGTAAGTTTAGCGTTCATTTACATGAAGAGTACTTTGCGAAATATCATGATAAATGATCATACTGTTCATCCCATTGGTGCATTTTTGGACCAATTTTAGTATAAATATTCTTTATATTAAACTTCATACTATAGTTGGTATTTGTTAATATTATGTTGTATTACATTTATTATTTATTTATGAGTAATTCGTTACTTAGTTAATAAATGATAATCAAAATAATTTTGTGTTGTTGTTCGTTTATCTTACGAGTGGTGCTTTTTTGCACCATCTCATATCTTATAAAACAATTTTTTTTCGAACACCTGTGTACATTTTTATATTTTTCATTCCATCGTATCTCATGGAAAATTAGAAAAAAAAAACGATTTTTTTAATATAAAACAACGTGGGACTAAATGGGTTAAATGGTAAATGATGTAATTGGCTGTACTTCTAGCAAATGGTTGTTTATTTGTTTGGACTCAATAAAACCTTGGGAAAGATGACATTATCACAGAGAAATAGATCGATTTGGCCCCCACGTTGTTGTGTTGGAAATATTTCTTGCATTGGATTAAAGCGATTGACTGTGTTATGTTAGAAAAAAGTGTTATTTCTGTGTGTTGTAATTCGTAATTCCTATTGTATTATTAATTTGTTTAGCTAAAGTTTGTATGTATTAAATCTAATCCAAATACATAAGTTCTTACATCTACAGCTAGCGTACTTTAATAAGTAAGGGTTCCATAAAAAAACATTAGCAACTATTTAGACATACCTATTTCGTTTTGTATTGTTTCGAATAATCCGTCAAAGATTTTGTCTACTTTGACTGTTTCTACTTTATTGATCACTTTCAATAAATCGTTCCAATAATAAAGATTTATTCGACAAGGATTATAAATTCTTCAACACTCATTTTTTCTAACACTTTACCAAATAAAGTAAAATTGAAAAAGCGTTTGAATAAATTTTGTAATTTTCTCCTCTCTATAAGTCAGTGCAAATTAGTGTTATCAAAATGAAAATGTTATTACCATTCCTTTCGCTTTTACACAACCTACATATACTAGGTATTTTTAGTCTTGTATTACGTTTAACTTTCACACGAAACATACCTATAAATCGTATCTGATCGCGATAAATCGACCAGCGGCCGGTTCCCCATTAATAATTTCCCCGAGTTTAATTTCGTGATTTACCGTTCCGGTAGAAATAATATAGATTTATTCGCTGCGGAAATTTAAATTTAACCCACGGTATACGAGCACCTTTCCAACCTAAATCGGTCGTTTTTAGCTAAAATATCGAATTTTCACCGAAATTATATCATCGCTGACGTTGATTGAACTTCGGATTCGAGGTGTAAATTCCAACAACCAATTTTAACCACGCTGTCAACAATAATAAATAGCACATATTCGAGAAACGAATTAAATCTAGTAGGAAACGATTTAGAACTTTTTATTTTTTTTTGCAATTTTTACTTGAGTGAAATGGGAAATCGAAATGAGATTCTCAAATGAGTATTCTCCGAGATTAAAATATGCTTTAAGGTCTATAACTTTACAGTTAGTTCTTAGAACTACACATGTCATCACTGCGATTATCTTTGGTTAATTATAAAGAGAAAAAAAGGGATTAAACTAGAAGCGTATCAGATTGTCTTTTAATTCTCACGCACAAAAGATTGGACTGGACAAGTTTTTTTTAATTATTATTATTATACTTTAATTAGTTCCCCTAGGATCATAATTACTTGATTATCCTAATAAGTTATTTTTTATTTTTAATTCTTGTACAAAAGCTGTTATTTTTTTGGCTGTTTTTTTTTGCGCCTACGGTATAAAGTGGTGTCGTTCGCGAAAAGATTTAATAAAGATAGGACCAACAATTTCGTATTTAATTACACCTTGCAGCTCTCGCGTCTTTAATTTTTTACGGGTCCATAAAGATACTGACTTGACTGTGCGCATTAAGACCATAAAAGTAATTTTTATAGAATTAAGTGGGAGGTTATAAAAATCTTTTCCATCACATTTACAATAATTTTTATTTTAATTAAAACAACTTAAAGAAACATACTAAAACAACTTGTAATATCACAACATTATTAATTACAACTGCATTTCCGCGACTTTCAATAACTCCTTTGCATTGTTCTTGATATAAATTTCGCACAATAGATTTGCTATCCAAAGCTATTAAGCAGACTTCGTTCTCGATTCGTTCGCCCAGAAATTTTCTGGTCCATTTATTGTCAAACATAAAACTACGTTGAAAATAGGGAACGGTAGCTTCGAAAACAACAGTACTCGGCGAATTGGTTTTTCTAACGACTAAATAGGTATCCCCTATGTCCTCGTTTTTCATAACACGCCATTTCACGCGAAGCTTTTTCTCTTTACTAAATACACAACAACAATTAAATTAATTCAACAAACTTAAATAGAAAACCTACACATTAAATTCCCGAAATCTTAAATCGGGGGTTATTTCGTAATCTCCAGGATTTCCTTCCATTAAAATTGTTGTGTTCACGTTAGATGGGCAATTTAATTTTTCTTCAGGAACTTCGTATAATAATTTTTCATACAAAAATGGCGGGGAAAGACATTTAATTGGTTTATAAATTTCTTTCACCTCTAACAATTTTGAAATGTACCTTTTAAATGGGCGTACGAAACAATCACAACTTATTGGATTTCCTAAACAAAATTAAACAATAATTTAAACATAAATAAGAAAATATTTGTATTAATAAACCTTCTAAAAATACATCAGCATCTTGCACAATCAATTTAGTTAATTCAGAATTAATGCTTTCGATGTTATTAAATCTTAAATCCAACAATTCCAGCTTATTCACTTCCTTCCAAGGTAAACTACCCAACAAATTATTCCGTAAATAAAGCTGAGTCATATTCGGTGGTAATTTGAAGACGTCCTCTTCCATGAGATCATTCATTTTATTATAGGACAAGTCAAGGATTTGTAAACTGGTGAGGTTTCCAAGCACATCTAATATAAAAGAGGATATACAAATGCAAACATATTTTCGAATTTTTTAATTAAGAATGTGCTTACATTTTCTGACATCACCGATGGCATTGTGGGATATGTTTAATTTTTTTACTTTCGAAGTTCCGAATATGAGATCATAAGTAATTATTGGCATGTGGTTGTAGGATAAATCAATCTCGTAAAGTTTGTATGGGTAATAAGGATTACTTGGGAACGTTTTTCTTGAAATAAAACTAATTTTGTTGTTACTTAAATTTATCTGGAAAAAGAATTAATGTAATTTAGTTAAAAATTAAATTAATAAATTAAAAAATAAATGTTTATACTAAATTAAATCAATCAGCAATAATAACTATCAAAAATTGAGATTCACTGACGAGCAAGTATGCTTAGCAATACTGCGAAAGGCTGTTGTAACCAATCCTAGTGAGAAATAGGGACAGAGCTAACGAGAGAAATGGCCCTCCGAACAACATTCGGCTCTATAAATAGGAATAGTTAGTAAAACCAAAATAGAAAGCGCCGGACAGACTTCAAAGAATCGACTTAAGCGACAAACAAGGAATAGTGCTCCTTGAACGTGGGGAGTCTGCATCGGAAAAAATCTCTCTAAACACTAGGATATATCCTCGCAAAGTAGAAAGCTGGGATTACTGTCATCCAAGAAGTTAGATGGACCAGACGGGGCCATGTACAGAAGAGGGATTACAACGTAATCTTTATTTGCCATAACAGTAGGCATAAAACCGAGACTGCTTCCTTGTTAAGGAAAAGGTAATTGGTTTCCAACCATTTAGTCCCAGAATGTTCAGTCTAAGAGTTAAGGGAAAGTTGTTTAATATTAGTATTATAAATGTGCATGTCCTCCTACTGAGGATAACAAATAGGAAGACTACAACAGTACCATGAAGATGAAAAACAAGAAACAACAGGATGACGCACTAACGTGTTTTCTATTAAACAAGGTAAAATTGATTAAATCCATGTACCAGTGGAGAAATAAATGGTCAATGGAAAAAACAAAACATTCAATGTACTTTAACTGGTTGAAATAATTTTATTTATAATTCGTCGGACTAGTTTCGCCTTATAGACATCTTCAGCGACTTCGTTAAAAGTTAAAAGTTACATCCAGCTCTTCAAAAAACATTTATAAGATCGACAGATTATGTTGAAAAACATTTTATAATTCCGAAATATATCACAAAAATTCAAAGAACTTTAAAAATTCTCTTCCATTAAACACATACATGGCGAAATCGACCAGTCCTGAACCTCCTAGCTTGAGAAAAAGCAAGAAATTGAGGGAATAACGAAATTACGAAGACATCGGTAGATAATAGAGAAGTGGCAGACATATAGTGGGAATATACAGGATGGGAAAGTGTATTTATGAACATCTTGATATGGCAGAATAAAGAGACTTTTTAACTGGTAACTAGGACTTCTAACCAATCCCATACTCTTGGCCAAAATACCTGGTTTGTTTCCACACCACCATTTTGAGACGACATCAGTACGCCAGCATCTCTTCCTCTGTACTAAAAATAAAAGGATTGGGTTAGGATGAGATGGATGGTGTTAGGTTTAATTGAATTAGGTTACAATGAATGCAAAACAGAAATAGTTCTCCTGCAGAGCAGAAAGAAGCACCTACGGTTATCACTGCAAACAGAAGGTCAAAGAATTCAAAGTATACAATATGCCAGATACCTAGGAGTGTATATCAATAAAGACATGACAATGACGAATCAGGCTAGAGAGATTACAAATAATAAAAATTTAGGAGCGGAGGTTATTGCGGGGATGCCACCTATGTACCTATTGGTGGAGGAGAGAAGTCTGTTATATGAAAGAGAGAAAGCTTCAAACTTGAAGAACAGAACTGTCAAGATCTGGCAGGAAAGATAGAATAAGTATGGCAGCTGGAGCAGGATAGTGATTTCAAACATAGCGGATTGGATAGATAGAACATCAGGAGAGACAGACTTTTATTTAACGCAGGTTCTGACAGGACATGGAAACTTTAAAACACGCCATGATAAGATCGGGAAGTCAGAGTCGGACGGGTGCTGGTTCTGCTATCAGGACGACACTCCGGGTCACACACTTTTCAAGTGTATTTTCAAGAGTTTGCAGCAATAAGAGAGGAGTGTGAAAGACAATGTAGAAACGTAATAAAGGAGACTAACACAGTAAAGTGCTTGCTATAACATGAGGGTAGTCCCATCGCTGCTCCTCTCTATAAAAAAATAAAAAGGTTACGATAAATTGGGTGGAGTTGGTGTTGATTTGAGTTGGATTGGATAAGGGTGAATTTGGCGTTTAACTCTAGACCGCGGAGAAAAATAAACGAAGCTTTAAGAGAACAGCAGATTTCAGAAGCGATAAATATTCCTACTAAGTCCCGCACGGATCGAATAATGCAACACTCTAGAATGTGCGCTATGGCCGAGTACTCAAGGTGAGGTTAGAGGAATGCGTATCACTGGTGATTTACACTGACTATCCGTTAGTCGTAATGGAAGAAAAATGCGAAACCATAATAAAAGAAAATGCTGAGTCCTGCGTACAAAGAATTCGGCATGCAATTACCTGTGAACAAAACTGAAATGATTATTTGGAGAACAGGAGCATATTAATGGCAGTAGATATAAAAGTTGGGCCACAGGCGATCAAGAGCACACGATCGATAAAACACCTTGGAATCTATCTGGACAAAGAGCTACGTATTACGCAGATGCCAAAATACACAACAAAATAACAGGGCTTATTCCCAAAAAAGGAGATACCAGCCAAGTGCGTAGGAACATTGACTGACGTTAACATCAGTTGTCATATCAGTGGTCAATTACACGGCTCCAACATGATAAGATGCAATTAAATTCAGAAAGTATTTCCACAGACTGCTGTTATATTAAAAAAGAGATACCAGCCCCGTGCGCAGGAACATTAACTGACGTTAACAACAGTTGTCATATCAGAGGCCATTTACACGGCTCCGACATGATAAGATGCCATTAAATTCAGAAAGTACTTCCACAGGCAGCTGTTATATTAGTTGGCACCCTCCTATGTACCTACTGGTATGAGAGTAGCAAAAACTGGCAGACTGGAGACGAAAATACACACAAAATAAAGAAACCAATTACCATAAGTAGCAAGAATGGTGGGACAAATACACTAGTTGAGCAAAAGCTTCACCACACAAGCCCTCACGAGCCATGATATTCCACCATGTCATATCTGAAAGAAATAGAAAGAAACCAGTGTTGGATCTCGGTTGGTTTGTATGCCGAAATGTAGATTCCTCTCAGCACAATCTTTAAGTGCGCTCATTTGCGTAAAGAATAAAGACAAAAAGAAACAAAAATGAAACACTCGTAGGCAATATAGGAACAAGAGAAATCGTGATAATAATAATATCTTTATTGTGCAAAAACATTCAAGTGTTACACTCGTCAATCAGTACTACAATAACCGTACAGACAAGTATAATAATAATTATAACAAAGCAAACGCAATACATTAATCATAGCAACAATAGTCGTAATTCCAAAAATAAACGCAACAAAACACAGTAAATCTCGCACATGATCAATAAGAGTCAAAAATAATTACGATTCTGATACACATAATATATTGAAATTTTCGGACGTAATTGTGTCGTTTAAAGAGTCAGGGTATGAGTAGTAGGCCCGCTCAACCAAGAATTTATGAAGACAGTTCAAATAATAAAAATTTAGGAGCGGAGGTTATTGCGGGATGCCACCTATGTACCTATTGGTGGAGGAGAGAAGTCTGTTATATGAAAGAGGGAAAGCCTCAAACTTGAAGAAAAGAACTCTCAAGAATATTTAGGTATGAGGCGCCCATTGTTTCTAGTGTGGTGGTTATGGACTTCACCATGTGTGACAAAGTGCTGACTTTGTACCTTAATGTAAAATGTAGAATATGCTGTGGTATATGTATATACAATGAAGGAAATGTCAGAATTTTCAATGAAACAAATGAGTTCCTGCAATCATCACGATACTTTACATTATTGAGTACGCTAACTGCACGTCGCTGCAGTCTGAAGGCACGATCGCACGATGAAGCCCTACCCCATACAACTATTGCATACGACATCAACGATTGGCAGAGGGAAAAATATGCAATCCTTAATGACTGCCGCGACACATTCTTACTCAAAACCCGCAGAAAATAAACGCTACCACTGAGCTTCCCACAAACCGCGCTCGTGTTTTGCTCCCAAGTCCACGAAGAATCAAGATAAACCCCCAAAAATCTACCCCCAAATAACCTTCATATGTATTTCTTTTCAGAAGGGTGATTGTGACAAAACGGGAAAACGAAAAGAATGAAAAGCCCAAAGGCACAACAACAAGTCTTTGACAACTTTAGGCAAAGCCAATCTGCAGTAATAGTCAAGTGGGTCCAGGCTGTCCAAAAGTCAACAGTTCCTAAAGGGACAATAAATGTATTATGTTCCATTAGGTCGGGATACATAAAGCATTTCTTCTCCTCTGCATCAAAATACAGGGTTCGGTTGGGTTGGGTTTTGGGTACTGTAAGTTGTTGACTTGGATAAATACCCAAATGTGTACTTCAATATTAAATGTGCCTTGCACCTAAGTACTTTGCTAGAATAGCCGTCATCAGCCCATTTCAATTGAATTTAAGTTTGCCCAAGAATTTCAGGTTGTGTTGCGTTCAGAACGAATCATGATGAATCTCGTACTTATTCTCGTATTGTTAATCAGTATGTTTTCACAGCGAGGCAAAGCACGAACTCAGCTTCGGATTATTAGGCAACAGTACTAATATTGTTGGCAATATTGTGTAACTTGTTTTCATCCTGAGTTTAAATTTCTTCTCAGTAAGTGAAACTAGAAAAGATTGATTCTACAAATGACGAATACTCTCAACTTTTCCCGACGAGGATTTTGGTAATGCAAGCAATGAAAGTAAACCATGAAGTTACGAAATGCATTAATATCCTACGGATAATAAAGATTTTGAGTCGGATTTAGAAGAAGAGGATCACATCATAGAGGTTGCAGAAATATGTACGCGACGTCGAGATCTAGATTAGATGTAATTAACTAAATCAAAACTAAATATAGATATTGTGGCAACATCAAAGGAAATGAAGGGTACCGATTACATTGAGTAATTTGTTCAATTTAAATGACTGAACTAACGCAATTTAACTTAATTATGTCTCCTTTGTTTGTGCTCAGATTTAGTAAAAACCTATAGCCAAGAACGGTGTGAATAGCTTTAATGCTGCTATTGATATGATCGGCTTTTCCTTTGTTATTGCGTATGGTGTTGAGGTATGATTAATTTGAGTTTGCAATAGACAGATTGACATACGCAAATTAACTATATAATTATAACAAAATTATAGTAAACAGAATTTACAATATTATAAAAACTTACATGTTCCAAAGATAACAAATCGTCCAATAACCCGTGCGTTTTATTATCCAATTTTTCAATTTTATTAAACGACAAATCCAAAGTTTTCAGCGCAACCAAACCTAAAATTAAAAATAAATATTGTTTTAACGTGAAAAGTTTCGTTCGTTTTTAAAATTTTAAATTAAAACTCGTTCGGCAAACAACAAGTCCCCAATGAGATAGTATATATCCAGAAAACGAATATTTCCCTCATTAAAGTTGTATAATGTAATTTCTCTGTTTCAAACAAAACTCGAAACAATCTCTAATGGAAACCCACTCCATTCTCGCGATTTCCATTTCATCCCCATTCTTACCCAGAAAGGCGCCGTTAGGGATGTACGTCAAATTGTTATGTGTCAGATTCAGCTTGAGCATCTGCAAGAGACCACCAAAAGCCTTTTCGCTAACGTTACCAATCTGATTGTGAGCCAAATTTAATTCGAATACAACCGGTAATACACCAAAAGCCGATTTTTCCAGTTTCGTTATGTTGTTACCCTATAATAAATTCCAAAAAAATAATAAAAATAATAAAATAAAAAGAAAATCTTACTTCCAAGAATAAATATTGTAAAGATGTAAAATCGCTAAGTGCTTCCCAAGGGGGTTTCGTTAATCCATTATAATTCAAATTAAGAGTTTGTAAAGTTAATAATCCCAAAAAGCTTCCTTTCACGAGATTATCCTCGATATAATTATTGCTTAAATCGAGACTGAGTAGGGAATTCATACTCGGCCATAATTTTGGTGGGATCTCTTTGAACTCGTTATAACTAAGATCCAAATGCGATGTGGATATCGGCAGAATGAACAAGGAGTTTAATTTATTTCCCTTAAGGGAAAGCTTTCGCGTGCTGGCTAACTTCGATAAGGCGCTTCTAGGAATATCCTTAAGACGATTGTAGCTTAAATCTAACTCGAGCAACGTAGGCAACGTCCCGAAAGTCCCCGGCTTTAATTTCTCCAAGTGATTGTGGCTTAAATCCAAAGTTCTCAGCGAAAACAACACTTGAAAAACTGAATTGTATATGTCCGATAAGTTATTATACGATAAATCGATTGTGTGTAATTCGTAAAGCTTCGGGAAGGTATTTTTACTTATATTCACAATTTCGTTATGGGAAACGTTTAAAAGTTTCAACCCGGTCATGTTCTGAAGCGGAATTTGACTTAACTCCGTAAATAGATTATAAGAAAATCTTAATTCCGTGGCGTAAGTTGTTTCGTCGAAAGCTCGTTTTGGAATCGTTTTAATTTTGTTATAAGTCATATCTAAAATCGTTATGTTTACGCAATTTTCAAAAGCTCCTGATTCAATCGTTTCAATTGCGTTATGCGACACGTTTATTAAAGATAAATAAATATCTTTAAAAGCTTGTTTTTCAATTATTGTGATGTTGTTTTCAGATAAATCAATGTGCTATAAAAAAGAAATAAAAAAATAATTTATAACATAACAATTAATTAATTTACCTCAATAACTTGTAATTGATAAAACATTTGGTAGTCAATTTTCTTAATAAAATTTCTTGCTAAATCAACGGTTCCAATCCTCGTAATTGAAGCAAAAGTTCCCCTTGCAACATCAGCAATTAAATTGTCGGAAAGATAAAGTCTTCTTAAAAACCTCATTCCTCGGAATGTAGTCGAATCGATCCGTTTAATTTTATTATGGGACATGTTGAGCACCTTCAAGACGGCATTTCTCGCAAACGCACCCCTAATTCGCATAAAATCAGTATTTATATTCCTTAGGAATCGCACCACATCCTGACCTAGCAATTTCCGTTATCAAGTTATGAGAAACGTTGCACCATCCCATCTTGATTAAGTCGGCGACGTGGCTCGAATCGAGCTTAATAATGCCGTTATGACTTAGGTCCAACACCTCGACTTCCCTAAGGCCTCGAAATTGGTTCCTTTTAAGGTCTTTGAGACGATTTCCGTGTAAATCCAACGTTTTTAACTTTCTCATGGATTGTAAGCTGTTCGGGTCTATTGATGATAAAGGCCCCTCAGTGAGATGGAATCTTAGTAATCTACTAGGTAAATCACTGTCTGCTAAAATATCGGGGGATAAAGAAGATATGTTATGACCTTTAATTACAAGAAGGGTCAAATTTCCTAAAATCTGTTTTAAAATTAATTAAGTTATGGTTTAATTTGAGTTTGAAAATTTACTTTGAATGCATCTTTTGGAAAATCGATTAAATTTGAATTTAATATATGTAGTTCATTTAAAGTATTGTTGACACCTAGAAAAGCATGTTGATCCATCGTTTCTATAGGAGTGTCTTCAATGTAAAGTGTTCGTAATTGTAATTTGTATAATAAACTTCCAAATAATCTTGCTGAAATAAAAATAAATTGATTAATTTAACTGAAAATTAATTATATTATCAATCATGGATTATTTTCTTCTTATTTCATTATAAACAGTTTATGTTCATAACGTATCCTTCCATTGATTTAAATTTCGGTGTTATTTAATTTATTATCTATTTAAAAAAAAGATATATAGATAGTTCTAAAAACGTGATTTTCAGAGTTACAAGGTATTTAATGTATACACAATAGCTTATAAACTGATCGAGTTGAATTAAAATTGTGAATAGATTATTTTTTCCTTATTTCAAGATAAACAATTTATACCAATAATATTTCCTTCCATCATTTCTAATTTCGGCGTTACTACAGATGTTAATTATTAACATCAATTTGAGAGTTGAAATGTTTAACCATTTAACGCTGTATATCAATAATGAACAGAGTTGAAATACAGTTGGTTATAGATTATTCTTTTCTTATTTTATTATAAACAATTTGTGTCAATAACATTTTCTTCCGTCGTTTCTAATTTCGGTGTCACAATAAATGAGAACTATTAAAATCATTAGTTTGCAAGTTAGAAGTTGTTTAGCGTTGTAGCTTACAAATTAACAGATTTAGTTTAAAATTGTATTGAGGTTATTTTTTCGTTATTTTATTATAAACAATTGATATCAATAACATTTCTATCGATCGTCTTTAACTTCGATGTTACAATAGATGTTAACTATTGAAAACATTACTTTGGAGATGAGATACTATTTAACATTGCAGTTTACAAATTAACGGAGTTAGGTTCAAATTGAGTTGAGATTATTTTTTCCTTATTTCATGATAAACAATTTACATCAACAACATTTCCTTGCATCGTTACTAATTTCAGTGTTATAGCAAATCAGAGGTATCTATTAAAATCATTATTTTGGAAGTTACAAATTAGTTAGCATTGTAGCTTACAAATTAACACAGTTAGGGTAAAATAGTATTGAGATTAATTTTTCCTTATCTCATTATAAACAATTTAAATCAACAACATTTCCTCAAATACGAGTACTGTTAGTAATTTCCGTGTTATAGTATGATATCTATTAAAATCATTATTTTGGAAGTTAGAAATTAGTTAGCGTTGTAGCTTACAAATTATCATAGTTAGGTTAAAATAGTATTGAGATTACTTTTTCCTTATTTCATTATAAACAATTTATATCAACAACCTTTCCTCAGATCGTTACTAATTTCAGTGTTATAGTAGATGATATCTATTAAAATCATTATTTTGGATGTTAGAAATTAGTTAGCGTTGTAGCTTACAAATTAACACAGTTATGTTAAAATAGTATTCAGATTACTTTTTCCTTATTTTATTATAAATAATTTATATCAACACCATTTCCTCAGATTGTTACTAATTTCAGTGTTATAGTAGATGATATCTATTATAATCATTATTTTTGAAGTTAGAAATTAGTTAGCGTTGTAGTTTACAAATTACCACAGTTAGGTTAAAATAGTATTGAGATTACTTTTCCCTTATTTCATTATAAACAATTTATATCAACACTATTTCCTCAGATTGTTACTAATTTCAGTGTTATAGTAGATGATATCTATTAAAATCATTATTTTAAATCTTAAAAATTAGTTAGCGTTGTAGCTTACAAATTAACAAAGTTAGGTTAAAATTATGTTAAGACTATTTTTTCGTTCCTTTATTATAAACGATTTATATTAATAACATTTCTTTCCATCATTTCGAATTTCAGAGTTACAGTAGATAGAAAGCATTAAAATCATTATTTAGAAAGTTAGAAACTTTTTAACGTTGTTGCTTCCAAATTAACAGAGATAGGTTTCAATTGTGTTAAGATTATTTTTTCCTCATTTCATTATAAACAATTTAGATTAATAACATTTCCTTCCATCGTTTCTAATTTTGGTGTTATAGCAAATGATATCTATTAAAATCATTATTTTGGAAGTGAGAAATTAGTTAGCGTTGTAGCTTACCAATTAACACAGTTAGGTTAAAATAATATTGAGATTAATTTTTCCTTATCTCATTATAAACAAATTATATCAACAACATTTCCTCATATCGTTACTAATTTCAGTGTTATAGCAAATGATATCTATTAAAATCATTACTTTTGAAGTTAGAAATTAGTTAGCGTTGTAGCTTACAAATTAACACAGTTAGTCCTTATCTCATTATAAACAAATTATATCAACAACATTTCCTCACATCGTTACTAATTTCAGTGTTATAGCAAATGATATCTATTAAAATCATTATTTTGGAAGTTAGAAATTAGTTAGAGTTGTAGCTTACAAATTAACACAGTTAGATTAAAATAGTATTCAGATTAGTTTTGCCTTATTTCATTATAAACAATTTATATCAAAAATATTTCCTCAGATCGTTACTAATTCGATATTATAATGGATGATATCTATTAAGATCATTATTTTGGAGATTAGAAATTATTTAGCGTAGTTGCACACAAATTAACAAAGTTAGGTTAAAATTATGTTAAGACTATTTTTTGTTTACTTTATTATAAACAATTTGTATTAATAACATTTCTTTCCATCATTTCAAATTTCGGAGTTACAGTAAATAAAAAGCACTAAAATCAGTATTTTGAAAGTTAGAAATTATTTAATGTTGTTGCTTCCAAATTAACAGAGATAGGTTACAATTGTGTTAAGATTATTTTTTCCTCATTTCATTATAAACAATTTATATCATCAACATTTCCTTCCATCGTTTCTAATTTTGGTGTTACAATATATGTCAGTTATTTAAAACATCATTTTGAAAACTAAAAACTATAAGGCGTTGTAACTTAACACATTAACAGACATGGGTTAGAATTGTATTGAGATTATTTTTTCGTCATTTCATTGTAAACAATTTATATTAATAACATTTTCTTTCATCGTTTCTAATTTCGATGTTACAATAAATGATAGCTATTAAAAACATCGCTTTGAAAATTAGAAACTTATCTAGCGTTGTAGCTATTTAACTTTGTAACTTTCAAATTGTCAGAATTGGACTAAAATTTTATATAGATTATTTTTTCTTTGTTTAATTCTAAATAATTTATTTTAATAACATATCTTTCCATCTAATCGTGTCTAATTTCTGTTATAGACGTTAGCAATTAACAACATTTCTAGTTGTTTCTTATCTAAATTATTCTAGAATAACACTTTTATAGTGATATGTTCAAGGAATTACTCTACAGAAGCTTAGAATTACAAAACTTCAATTTCTTGCAATAAAATTTAGAAAGCGTGCTGATTTTAAAAGTAGATATTCCAGAATAGTTTGGAGTTATATAATTGAAAAAAGAATGACTCGGTCATAATAACTCATTCAATAAGTTATTCCAAAATAGCTCAATGAACTAACAATTCTGAGCAACTCTGAAGAATTAAAGTCAAAATGAACTTTAAGATTACTGAGATTTAATACTGAAATTCACGAATTTATTCAGAGTGGCGTAGTTTAACTTAAAGTGGCAGAACAGCGATTATTTATAGAAAGCCATATGCAGGCTTCGCAAGGAAGATAGTGAGTTATGTAACAGTAATAGTTAATATTACGAACTCAATTGGATCATTTTTATAGAAAGCACGTCTTCTAGGGGAAAAGACAGTCTTCATAACGTTTCCCTACATGTGAGTATTTCTGTCATCTTCCCTGTTCCTGCTCTATCATTTGTTGGTGTACATCCTTGGTCGTGGTTTATTCCTCTACTTTCCAAATTTCTTATTAGGATGTGATCGTAATTGTATATTTTCAATCAATCGTTCGAATAGTACAGTAAAGTGGACCATGGATCTCTTCGTATTTCTGAGTAACACCACGATAATGACAAATCATACAATGGAGGCCACTATGTTTCTTCAGAAATGCTTAAATTCGTTGATTTCTCCAGTTTTAGGGCCATGTTTACGAGACATTCTGCAATTAACTTTGTTAATAGAATACTCATCTTTGTCTATCATTACTTTCTTTGTTACCCTCTCCACTAATATTACGAAATCGTCCGGGTGAAGTGTCGCTCTTCATGAACCAGTTATTCTTGTGACATCAATAATTGGGATATCATAATCATAATGAGAGATATGTGCGAAAAAAGTTTAAAGTTACATTCTCTCGCTCCAATGGAATAAGTTGAACGAATGCGTTTTTGATATCAATCAGTAACATCACATTAAATACCCTCTGTGAGGCTCTGTGTAAGATTCTCTTTCGTTTCTCTACACAAATTGGAAGTCGCTTAAGACGACAGCTGCTTCAAGGAAGTTGGTGAGGCTTTTATTGATCAAGTTCTCAAATAATATCTCGATTGCACTTAGAAAGCATATGATATGACTATATCTAACCAGGATTAAAAGATTTTTCTCTTAATATTAATTAAGACTCCTTCTAAATCAGCCGGTTGAAGCAGCTATTGTCCATCAAGCAGTTATCAAGACGCACAGGAAACCCTCAAAATTCGTTTCAACGGAGCTTTTAAGAATCTCGTGATATCATCTCTCCAGAGAGAACTTCTGAGCTTCAGTGGTGCCAAGATGCCCTTAGTGGAGGGATCGATTCTTTTCTATTGACGTCTTCTGGGAGTGTGGGTAATACCTTACAGTACTTGGTTGTGGATTGTCTCCTTGTGAAGCTGTCCACCACATCGAGTCTTTTAAATCGAAAGATAATTTTTTATTTTTTCATATCGTTCGCTTGCAGTTTGTTCCTCAACTGCATTTTTATACGCTCTTTTGTGCAATGTCTTCTTTCTTCATTCTCTTCTCTAGACTCCAGCAATACTTCAGCTTTCTATGGTCATCCTTATTTATTGTTCTGACAGTAGCTTCAAATTGATAAGTGAGTCTGTTATCAATCAATTTTGTAAGTAATATCCCAACTGCACTCAGAAGGCACAGAATGGGGTATGACTATTCCTGACTGGGATTCAAAGGTCTCTCTAGGTGTCTCCATTGTCTATCAAGCAGTTATTCAAGACGTGCAGGAAGACCTTCCACCAGGAAACTCGCTAGAACGCAGCTTTTAAGAACCTCGTTGATGATATTGTCTTTCCAGAAAGAATTTCTGATATTCAGCTGTGCAAAGATGTCCTTGGTGAAGGAATCGTTCTACTCCTGAATCCTTCTTCTGCGGTTCTCTTCTTTTGATGAACTGTGAACCTTACAGCACTAGCTGTAGATGGTGTCTTTGTCAAGCTGTCCACCGCACGAGTCTTCTGAATCGAAAGATATTTTTTTGCTTTTTATATCGTTCTCTTGCAGCATGTTCCTCCTCTATACGCTCTTTTATGCATTCTCTTCTTTTTTCATTATCTTCTCCAGAGTTGATGGCTTCAGCTTTCTGTGGTCATCCTTATTTGTTGTTCTCTTGAGCGTTTTGTAGCACGCGTTGATGATTCTTTTAATTAGGTATCAATAAGTTGACTATTTAGGAGATGTTTTGAAAATCTTTTTAGGATTCCCAATTTATTTAGGATTTCAAAGCTGACTGGCTGGTTCCAGTGAATGATAGGCAGATGATCACGTGGTCGCTAGTACTTCAAGTTCCTCCTTTATTTCCTATTTCGTATCGAGCTAATAATCTATTCTATTTTATTTCAGCTGTTTGAGGAATGATAGACACATCAGAGGGCAAGCTTCTTCATGGTCACATAATAGCTTTTTGATCTTATCTGTCTTCTATCCTATCGAACTCCAATAACAAGGCGATAACCCTTGTCGCCGCATTGCTGCCATCTCCTCTCATCAGCAGATTTTCCATCTAACTGTGTTCTTCTTTTTCTATCACTGGTAGTTGCTCTTCCTTTAGACTTTCCTTATTTCTTCTCTGTATATTAGGCAAACTCCACTACTGTCCCACAATACGGGCAATTATAGCCCCAGTGCAATCCTTGGCTAAGTGTAATTTCTGCGATTATGTTGCGCAGCATGTGATAACGTTTTTAGTCGTTGAAAATTGTCAAGTTAATAACTGATTATGAATAAAAAATGCTTCCTGTGCAAGATATGATAATGTCGTGTAAACAATGAGAAGAAGAAAGATAATGGCCCAAACTTTTGGGAACAAATAATTAACTGTGTTGAGATTCGAAGATAATAAGAGAACGTATTAATGGAAAGTTAATGCAAACGAAATTTATGTTTTTCTAGAACTCTCACGAGAGCTTAATAAAAACACACTTAACCTCAATTCTCAATCTATTTCTTTACTACTTTCTTGGCATAAATAAAAATTAATTGTAAATTAGAATTGTTTTTTCTTACCTATATGACATTTATACAAGGTTAACTCCTCTATTGGCAAATTAAATGTTGCTAAATTATTTAAACCAACACTCATACTACCCAAATTAGAATTTTCGCATCTAATTTTTACGCCAATATCCGATTCTTCGACACATTTACATGGATGTATCAAAAGTGAGTCTTTTGGACAACGATATAAAGGTCCCGGTGGAATATATTCCCCATGAATCATAACATATTGGCCAAAAAGTATTAATAAAACAATCACAGACATCATTATAACAACTAAAAAATAATAAAAAGAAATTGAGGTGTCTCAAATTTAAAAACGACTTACTTGTTCAACAAAAACTATTAACTAAATTTTTAAACTAAAATTAGAATAAATACAAGTTTTAAATGTTAACACTCCCACAATTAACTGATTTCTTGTAACAATTCACATTGTTAAATGTCAACTAGCGCGAACTCTAAGAAAACTTTTACCACAACCAAGGTAAGCTCACGAAAGAAGTTTTAGTACCGACCTCGACTCCCCGCTACTTTCAACTTTCTATATACTTTACAGGTGGTATATCAATAATACCTTCCAAGGTATGTGAGGCGAATAAAGAAACTCTTTGACTGTATAAACCGTGAATTAAAACTTTCGAAAACTAGGATTATATGAGTTAAAGCTACGTTGTTTATTATGTAATTTAAAGTATTCGTTTTATTCTTTTTAATATTTGTTAGATAATGTTGGTGGAAAATTTAATTAAAAAATAAAACAAAAATAATTAAAGAATTAGAGAAGAAAGTGAAACTTAAAAAATCAATTTGTATTTTAGCGCTCTCTTACATTTTGCGCCATCTACGAATCAAATGATGAAATGAAGAGTTTGGTAATACGGGTATAGATGGCTATAGGTGTATGAAATTGGTATGAAAATCTTGAAATACTTATAATTATTATAAAAGATGTTTTTGCGCCCTAATTTGTAATAAAATCTATAAATAATAAGTTAAAAAATGTTTATTGCTTTTTTATATTTGAATTAAATTCGTTTAAATCCCATCTTTAATTCTTAATTACTTGATTAATAGTGTATTATAAAATAATGTGCAATTTAGATAAAGTAACTTAAAAGTTTTTGCTGTAAAATGTAGTAGTTAATTGAAAAAAGAAGGCGGATATATTTTCAGTTGGGAATAACAACGAAAGACAGTGGATTCGGGGCCGCGGTTTTCTGGCGCCGTTCCCATCCCATTGGGCGTCGCGGCGCCGCTACCGCGACGACTAGTCGGGCGCCGCGACGGCCCCAAACCGAAAACTATCAGCGGAAAGCGTTCCCGACCGGCGCCCCCGAAATAACAAATTGTTATAATGCCGCCCTTTCACGAGAAGAGACGCCAGCTTTTTCATGCGGCTTCACGCTCTCGGTCGTCATCCAAAAAACAACGGAGAGAAAATCAGGGGGATTCGGTCAACTATAAATTTCTGAAAGGTCGGATAAAATGAAAAAAGTTTACAAAAACATTTATAATATCTAGGTTATATTAGAAAAATTTGTAATTTTTTAATGTATTTCAGTTACTAATTCTGAAACATTTCGGTATCCTGTGATTCTATCATCAAAATGTATAACAAATTGAACAATTAGTTGAAGTTGCTAATTTCTTCGTAGGCCTCTACTACGATCTCTTCAAATCACTTAAGTAATCTAGAAAATTATTAAAAGCTAACAAATAAGAGGAATCCCAATAGGACGGGACTTAATACAAGTCTAATCAAGCATGAAGCAAAAAACACATCAATTTGTTATTAAAGGAAATGTTTTCCATAAAATCCTAAGACTTTGTAATGAAGGTAAAACTAAATGGTGTAACTCAAAATGGTTGTAGAAGATTTAAAATCTCTTTAGGAAGTGTGGCGAGGATGACAGAATTAAAAACAATTATTATGATATTTCTGGAATGCGTTCCAAAAGTTTCAAGAAATAGAGACAGCACATACCAACGAATATGACAAAATGGTACTAAACGATCGAAACACTCTTGAGAACAAGCTAATAACATTAAAGGAGATGTTTTTAAGAAAATCCAATTACTTTAGACTATGGAAAAAGCTGATTGGTGTGAACCAAAATGTTGCTAAACGATTAAAACCAACCTCAGGACACTCAACGAGGATTAAAGAATTTCAAAATAGTACTTTAATATTTTATTGAAAATGTATGAATGATGCCATAGAATAGAAAAAAATGGCTGGTAACCCAACTAGCAATATCTTATTTTATTGAAGCTGTAAGAACGATTCCACGATAAATTTTATATAACATATTCAGTCACAGCAACGTAATAAAAATGATTTTTTTCAATTTTGATATATACATATGTGTCAAAATTACAGTAAACGATTGACAACACCTTCATCTTATTTCAGAAAGGTTACACAACTTAATAACATTAAAAACAATGTTTTTCAGAAAACTCAAATGCTTTAGGATATAAATAAAGCTAATTGGTGTGAAGCAATTTGTCCAATTGCTGTTATGATTGAGACAGTCAAATCATAAAGTTGTGCTTAACTGCAAAATCTGTTCGCAAAACAATGTTGAATATACACACCGTTGATAGCAAAGCATGGTTGATTTACTTTGCCTAAAAGCGAATTGAAAAGTAAATTGGCATTTACTAATTAGTTCCTTTAATATTAACTAGAACACTTTCCAGAATACAGGTGTGTTAGAGTGGCACCACTCTGGACATTCACTCTAATTACTAATTAAGTAATTTACACAGAGAATCCATTCCGGTTCTTGAATCCCGATATTTAGGTACATTTATTAATTTTGTATGCAAAATTGTATAAAGTTATCCATACCAGAGTATCTCCTCGACATTAGTACACATATTGAGAACACATCGTTCTACACAACTATCTTGCCTATCATGACTAAGGTCGTTCTACTTATCTAAATTATCTCAAGCTATCGTCTGAACTAGTACAACCAAAAAGCTTTCAGCCAATTTGAAAATTACATTTCGCTTATTACAATTTAAGTTTTTATAAGTTTTATACTGTGGAATCTTTGAAAAACTTCATTCAAGTTTTTACAGTTAGTCTGCTATTCCAGGTTCATAAAACCTGTAAATTAAGCGGTGGACTTGATCCTTCCGGATAGTTTTGATGTCGTGATATTTCAGCTGTGAAACTTTTATCATAGCACTCGACCCAAATTTCTTTGCTCATATCTTTCACAGACTCGGAACGTCTCCGGATATCCAAGTCATAGTACCTAGTTAATTCATTGTACTAATCAACAACTTCATTTTTCTTTTTATTCTGCAGGGTGATTTATTAGCTCACCATCAAACTTTGACATATGATAGCTAATCCAATTACCTAAAACAAAATGATAATGAACCTGATATGATAGTTTAGTAATTTATAGTTGCAGTAAATTATGATATAAAAATTAAAACTTTAAAGTGTTATAATTTCGTAAATAATTGAAATAGGACATATGTTCATTAACATTTTTTTTTAATTGGATTTGCTATCATATGTCAAAGTTTGATGATGCTAATAAATCACCCTGTATATTTTACATGCTAACAAAAATTGCAAACTTTATTGATTATTTTTCAATGAGTGTACTCATACCAAATAAAGATTTTCTGTCCATTATATAATTACATTAGTCAACAAGTTTCTTTTCTCACACTCTGATACGTGTACGTTATGTATTCTTTCAGTCTAATTCTCAAAATATTTTCAAAAATTCCTTATCACGTCAGGTTATTATGGACTGTTTTATGTATAGTAGTAAATTGAAAGAAAATATCAACATATTATCATGCAAGTAAGCATGTCTGAACAGGATTAACATGTTTGGTTACATTAGTTAAACCTATTTTGTATGTGTGTAAACCATCCGAATAGTTTAGTACATATTTACGAAATATGGCACCTTTAATATAAAAATCATATAGATAACCTCTATTTTAAATTAACAATTAAAAATCGACACAAGTTGTGGACCGCTTACAATTGTTGTTACTTTGAGGAGCTAGTTAAATAATAAAAGTATTGCTATGCCATTTACTATATCTATCAACCGGCGAGAACAAAAGCATCATTCTACAAAATTGCTACTTTTGCTGTACAAAGATCTTCTGGTTTCTCATCAAAAATGCGAATAAAATTATTTATTTTAACTTACCTTCTGCCACTTGTCCAGTTTTTCATTCGTAACCTTTGAGGGTTTCAAGTCCGATGTTACAAACCAAGAGCATGCTGATACAGAGATATAAGAATACATTTCAGATTTATCGAACACAGAAGAAGAATTTTTGCCGTCTGAAGAGGACACCTCATTTAATAAATCAAGTGAAGTTAAATGACATAATTCGAGATCTCAATTTATCAAAATTGCATGAATGGAAGTTGTATACGTATTGGTATACGTATTTCTGCATATCAAGATCAGATAGAACAGTCGCACCGTTTTCTTCGTCATTCATTTTGCAATAATGTTGACGATTTAATGCTAGTAATTAGGTGGCAAAGACCATCCGGAAGAATGGTGTCTTTTTATAGATGCTTCTAGTTTGAAAGCTGTCCTTTTACATATAGGAAACATTTTCTAATCCATTCCTGTTGGTCATGTAGTGTACATGAAGGAAAATAAATACATCTCACAACAGCATATAATTAGTAGGTATATTATTGCATGATTTTAAGACCCACTTTTACAATCCTTCTGATATACTATTTAGAGGATAGTTGCCATGGTTACGGTGGCTTTAAGTGCTCTCACTGGCTAAGAGTTAGAAATATAAAACAAAATAATTTGTATAAAATGATAAAGAAAAATTAATGAGTTGAACATATACCAAAGAAATAAGTGACATTAATTGGTTTGTTATTCTTAATTTTTTTAGGGAGACCTACACTATCATTCTGACTGTCAATATTTGCAAATACTGATTTTTTTGAGCATTTTCTGAGCCTTGCTGGTACATCGAGTATTTCCGGTGCTGTTGTGGATTTAGTCTGTCTATTCTAATCTCTTTTACCGCAACTTTCAATCAAGACCTCTCTTATTGTTCAACTGGATTTTCCAATTGGCTTGAATACTATCTTGGGTTGTGGTATTAGGCTTAGCTTCGTCGTAAATAGAGGTTCTTGGTTCTTAATTTTGAGAAGAGTGTGTTACATTCTCGCTTGATCAGTTTCTAACTGATTACTTGCAATTTATTGTACTTTTTTTGTGAACATATGGTGTGTGATATTTTCCTGCAGGTTGATGTCATTCATCTTTGCCAGCAACTTATCTTACCAAACAGAATCGCAAACCTTTTTGATGTTCTTCTGGAGAAATAGCAATGTGCTAGCAAGATTCGCAGCTTGCTGTACTTCTCCTCTACGTTTCCTGAATCTAAATTCATGCTTCGAGGGTATTAGACCTTTCTTTTCGACTCCTTTTTGTAGTAGTTCTAGCAGAATTATTTCTCTAATTTTC